ACACAACTGGACTTAATATCAGGGGAAACCCTAACTTTTACCTAAAATACTTATTGACGTGATGATAAAACACACAATTATTCTGACTGTTATTAATACAATAACAGGGAACTGAGGCGCGTGTATCTTTTCTGTTCCCACATAACCATTTGAGCCAGTGAGGCATAGTGATTGCAGCCTGGCCTAGCAATATCCATTCACAAGGCTACAGCGCTCTCTTCTGTCCAGATGCCAATATTCTTTTAAACAGGTACCTGAACTATGTGATGGATTCAATGGGTGAAGCAAACCTACATATAGTGGAAGAATCTTAGAACATCTTGAAAACCTGTGATTTTGTTGTAGCATTAGCTTTTATGGATTTTGTTATTTTCTGCCAATTTTGATTTACAGTGACTCAGAGACCTCCAAAAGTCTCCGTCATGAACTGACCAGGCTCAGATCTTGCAAATCCAGAGCTATGGCTTCCTTGATTGAATTAATTTACTTGTAACACGTTTTTCATCTTCTTCTACTACCTTCCACTTTGTCAAGCATTATCAAAGAATCATAGAGTTGGAAGAGACCTCGTGGGTCATCTGGTCCAACCCCTTTCTGCCAAGAAGCAGGAAAATAACCTTCAAAGCACCCATCCAGCCTCTGTTAAAAAGCCTCCAAAGAAGGAGCCTACATCACACTTTGGGGTAGAGAGTTCCACTGCTGAACAGCTCTCACAGTCAGGAAGTTCTTCCTCATGTTCAGGTAGAATCTCTTTTCCTGTAGTTTGAAGCAGTTGCTGCACATCCTAGTCTCCAGGGCACCAGAAACCAAGCCTGCTCCCCTCCTCCCTATGACTTCTCCTTACATATTTATATATGGCCATCATGTCTCCCCTCTGCCTTCTCTTCTGCAGGCTAAACATGCTCAGCTCGTTAAGCTGCTCCTCATAGGGTTTGTTCTCCAGACCCTTTATCATATTAGTCTCTCTTCTCTGGACACATTCCAGCTTGTCAACATCTCCCTTCATCTTTCAAGGTTATATTTCATATTTGTAAAGCATAACAGGTTCACTTTAGACATCTTTGCTTCTAGTGTGTGTTCAGGTTTGATTACCTCTAAAGACTATGTATTTGGGTTTGTTTTTTTCCAGCAGTCCATGTAGCACTTTTCTCTAGCACATTTCAAATGAGTTGATTTTCTTCCTGTCAGCTTTCCTCACAGGCCAGTTTTCACAGGCATGGCTGACTTAGTTTTAATGTTTAATCAATTATCATGCAAAGCATACATGGATGCAGACTTAATCCTCATAAAATTCCTATAAGAATCTGAATCCAGGCTCCATGTCCATGTAAGAATTAGCAGGCACAATTTTCGGAGGTTGCGTCAATCATTTTTCCAGCCACTTGCTCCACACACATTCAACAGCCCTCCCAAGCTTTTAAATTGCTGGGCAGGGAGCTGATATTATACAAGTAACCTAGGTCATGATGGCACCCAAATGCACAGTCAAGTGGACAGCAAGATCCACTCCACTCAAATGGAGAACTGCAGTGTTCTGTCCTGGGGCCGATGCTCTTCAATATTTTTTATCAATGATTTAGATGTCAAGATGGAGGCAATCCCTATCAAATTTACAGATTATATAAATCTGGGAGGAGTAACTAATACACTGGAAGATGGGAACGTAATTCTGATAAACTAGAAAACCAGGCTGGAATTAATGAAATGAAGTCCAGCAGAGACAAATGTCAAATTATATGTGTCAGGAGTGACCTGAGAAACTGCAAGTCGCTTCTGGTGTGAGAGAACTGGCCGTCTGCAAGGACATTGCCCAGAGGACGCCTGGGTGATTTGATGTTTTATCATCCTTGTGGGAGGCTTCTCTCATGTCCCCGCATGAGGAGCTGGAGCTGATAGAGGGAGCTCATCCGCCTCTCCCCGGATTCGAACCTGCAACCTGTCGGTCTTCAGTCCTGCCGGCACAGGGGTTTAACCCACTGTGCCACCGGGGGCTCCTTAAAAAAACCAAATGCACAGATATAAGATTGAGGATACTTAGCTCAACAGCACATGTAAAAAGCACCTTGGCATTATTGTTGATTGTAAGTTGAACATGAGCCAGCAATTTGATATTTTCGAAAAACATCAAATACAATAGAATCTTAGTTAACAGGAGCTCAAGCAACTCAAACTCTCAAACAACCAGAAAAAAGAATAAATGCTACTTTAAATAAAAATTATAGCAGAAATGTTGTATTGAGTTTGTCTTTGTCTTATTTTGCTTTTTATTAATATCGAGTTAATATAGAGTTTACAGTATAGTATGGGCTGTAGTATTAGTTAGGACTACTTTTAATAGTACCTCTCAAGCAACCAGTAACTTCATTTAAACTGGCATCTACCCCACAGGTGCTGGTTAACTGAGAGTCTAAGTGGTACATAGCCCATAGGACCCCTTTCTGCTCTCTACAATCCAGTGTTGCTATGTCGACATATATACTATAGTGAAAGTGTATATATTCCTGCCCGAGTATTTTAAGCAAGTGCAGTGTGTACAAGATGAATACAGCTACTTTACAGACCAGTCTTCATTATTTTGACACTTGTAGTGAAAGAAACATTCTAGTCCAGCATTCGACAATACAAGCTTACAAATGCAAGTTCAGAAATGTAATTGCTGGAACCCTCCTGCACACAGCTTTGTTGAGAAGTGGCTAGTTTCATTTTCAACTATTATTTTTAACCTCTAGTTTGTAAGAGGCAAGATGTAAGTACATGGGAAACATTGGGTCCAGCAGGTTGCAACATGCCACCTTCTCATGCTCCAATCCTGTAAGCATTTATCAGGAAGTTAAAGTTCATTAGAGTTGTCTTTATGTCTGAGTAAGCATGCAGAGAATTTCTCTGTGTGTTCTAAATATACCAAGCAATACAGTTTTGTACTGTTTTAAATGATTAATTTTGTGTTAAATTGTAACATAAAGATTCTCTGTCTTATACTAGACTAAAAAGCATACAAATTAATCATTGCTTTTTATTATGGTTGGTATTGGACTCCATAATTGTTTCAGTGGCTATAGAAAACATCTGAAAATGGCTTTGCAGTTTGGTATTCCATTGGGGCTTTTTCATCCTTGATTTACCAACGACAACCAGTTGCCTTTCTGTTGTGTAGGATAAATGTTAAACTCTAGGCGGAGATGTTAAAAACTTTCAAGCCATGGAAAACTACTCCAACTCAGTGGGAAGGTTGTGGGGGAAACTGAAATGTTAGAGGGTATAAGTTCTAATGCAGATATCTGTATCATGAATGGAAATGCATTGCTGCTTTAGACAATGGCATTGTGAATGAGCCCATCCGTGATGCTAAAAGTTGCAGCAGGGACAGTTCGATGTTCACAAGATCTGATGTTCATTCCGAAGAGTCTGCATGGAACTTGTGATGTATAAAATCTGCAAAGCACATGGGTTTTTTTTTTACTGATGCAAGTATTTTTAAGCAGGCACACAAAGACTTGGGGAAGTTCCATCTTTGATGAGTCAGCTGTGTCTGAAATGAATACACCAGTGTTTCCTATAGCAAAAGAGTTATGAGTAATATCTATATCTTGTGTACATTGCCTAGCCTATCTCTCACCAAATCAGGCTTCCAAGCATAAGTACATGGTAACAGACAACACATAAGTCAGTGTTTGCCACCCAACAGACAAAATATACTTGGCAAATCAATAACCACAGATGGCATGGAATCATTTTCTTTTATGAAGGCTAAGCATTAGGTACACATTGAAAGATGGATCACACAGCCATTTCCAGCTACTAATAAAGGATAAATGAAACTGTTTCCCATAACCTTACTTCCAGAATAGTTTCAGGATTTGGAACATGACAAATTAGGCAACAGATGCTTATCATATATTATCCGGTTATATGAGGATGGGTAAGAATGGGGACTGACTTTAGCCTTTTATTCATTGGCCCTGTTCCAGAACATGAAGCACACAAGAATTTCAACCATGATATATGGACATCATACATCAGCCGCATGTGTTGTGTTTGTTTTTAGCTGCCTTGAGTTCCTTGTATCGGGAGAATGGCAGGATAAAATTCATGTAAATAAATAAAATAAACAATTTCATACTGTAATTATCATTTGGCACAGAACAGGTGTGACAGTTACCTCTTGCTGTCATTTTCAGCCAAAAACACATTTCAGTCAACACACTCAGTATTCCAATCTTGTTAAATAATGTTCTTGGGGGGGGGGGGGGGTCCAAAAACACAATTGGGGTGAGACATCATGATTTCCATGGCCTTCTAGAGTCCCAGATGTGATGCAGTCTTCTTAGCTGCTAAGTGTGCCAAAACAGGCACAGGACTTTGTAATTGTTTTACATTTATATACAATACTGCCTTTTATATCAAGGCAATGGACAACAAGAATTGTGTTACTATGTGGCAATAAGACTTATTGCAAATAGCCTATAGGTTATTTGTCATCTTAGATGTCTAAGCTTGTTTCTATTTTACCCACACCAATTTCTGTCCTGACTTCTACAGACACTTATTCCAATCGAATGGGATCCTTTCAATGCATAAATGTAGCAGAAGTAGTTGGCTGGCTTAAGTTCTTGATGCAGTCACCCAATTTAGAAGGCTGAATGGATGGGATACATTTTACATTCACGTATGGAGAAATAAACAAAAATAGATGCTATTTTGTACTACATTTCCTTTTAACCCACTTGATATCCTATAGCACCTTTTATTTATTTGCTCAAAGAAGCAGGATATTATTTCAATCCACACTGCAGCAGCGCAAAAGATCATATATACAAGTAGCAACACTGAAGTTGACTCAATGGGATGTCCAGAATACATCTCCATACATGTGATTTTCATTTGCTGTCTCTATACATGTTGTTTTAGCTTATGTTAACAGAGGTGGATAGTCAAAATCTAAAAAAAGATTTAGGTTTGAATTCTTTGGGACAAGGGATAAATAATTTCCCCAAAAAGGATTTTATCAATTAAGTTTATTTTCTTTATTTAAAAGCCAGAACATGACCATTTTGAAGTTCTAAAATTCTTATTAAAATTACTAGAAGTGCACTTAGAATACAAGAACAAAAAAGTCTGTTATGTTCACAAAGGGTATTTAGGTCCTATGCGATCCACAGGTGGTTGGAGAAGATGTTCTTATTGAAAGGCTGAAAGATAACGGCCAAGAAGTCCATGTGCGTGCAGAAGGCACTTCCGTGCATGTATGAGCAAACAGCTAGTTTTCCCCTCCAGCTTTTGTTCTCTTCAGCCTCTTGAATGCTGCTCTGGAATGTCCTGATTTCCACCTGCTGATCTCGGGTGGCCAACATACAAGGTGCTCTGGTAGGAAAGTGAAGCTGGAGAGGTCCAGGATACCACAGGCCAACCTCAAAAATATCAGTAACAATTCAGTGGGAAACCCTTAAATGAGACAGAAATCCAACTCAAGAATCTTGAGAGCATTTACAACAGAATCAAACCATGTCCAAGCAGAGTAGTCACAGAAAGCAAGAGCGAGCAACTTCAGCCGCACAAGGATAGTGTCAGATCTGGTGTACCATGTCATTATTGATTCATGGTGTTTTAAGTCTGGAGGAACCCCACTTCCTCCAGACAGCAATATTGCACAATTTAACCTCCGGTTCCAGCAACAAATGCCTGTTGAGCTAATATATATCCCAAATTATGCAAGTCAACATTTAGCTCTGTCAATTCACACCTCACTTCAGTTCCAGTTAGAATGTTTACTGCAAAAAGTTGTCATTAAACCCAGAGCCATCCATCCAAAACATGCTCATTTAAAGAATCCAGCCAGGTTCTTGTTTTTGACAGAGTACTTTCCCACAAAGGAACATAGTATCTGAAGAAGCCTGCATATCCATCAAAAGCCACTGAAGCAAATGGTTCAGTGTTCACTAATGGCAGTGTATGATCACTATATAAAAACCTAATTACTTCACTGTAACTGTGCTTTCTAGCTATATGTCAACAGGATGGGGAGAGGAGTTATGCCTGCTGATCTCATCCCTGGGACTGCCATGCCTTCAAGCAGAAATTAAGAATGGCAATGTATGTATGGAAGCTCATGCTAGTGATACTTTCCAGTTGTGCATCAAGGCTCCAAGTATACACAGCTGTTTGCAGGGTCCTATTCTCACTCTCCACGGAACACATAGAAGTCAAGCATATGGCACCCCACTCATATGCTCAGTCAATGCAAAAAATGCAAGAATAGGGCCAAGTGCATTCAAAGTCAAGAAATGTGAGAATTAGACTTTCTGTTCCCTGTACTGCAAAGTTTCTGAACCACAGCAGCATAAGATTTCACACATGAATACATGGCATTTCTCTATTAGATCTACACAAGTGCAGTTCACACAAAGCACAATAGTCTTACTTGTGTTATGTTGAAGGAACAGGTGGGAAGGGTGACTCATCTGCTGCTGTCAAATTATTCTGAACTCTAAGCATAGAGGTAGAAATATACAGGGGTGTAGGAAGCCAGAAATGAAGTTTTGTATGAATTCTAATGTCTTCCAGAAACATAGAACAAGCTTATCTCATTTCATATCTGAACTTTGTATGAGTAAGGTAAAAAAGTTATCAAGACCAACAACTGAAATAAAACTTGAGTGATTGCCTCTAAACTTACAGAAGTATTATATAGAGTGAACTAAGAGACACACTGTAAAAGAATAACTTCAGCATTTTATATTGCTGAAACAGGCTTCTGTAAGGCTTGATTTTGAGTCAAATCCAATGTGTTGCTACATAAAATAAGAAACTGATACCTGCAACCAATATTTGAATCAATAAGCCTACGTCTCCGTTATCTAGAGATGGAGACCCGTTATCTAGAGATGGAGACCCTTAGGCTTCTAATTCCTGATCCATGTTAAAGAATGCAATAATAGTAAAGGTGAAAATTATTGCCAAACTCCTGGTGATTTAAAATCTGTAAACATTAGAAGTTGAAATAAAATCTAAATAAAGCAAAAAATGTTAAGAGCCAAGACCAAAGGTATTCTGGAGCAAGTAAACAGCAAGGGAAATCTCACTAGAAGAGGCCATGTATAGAGATAGTAGGCACAAGAATGAAGAAAAATTAGTTTATGGATGCCAAAGAATCTTAGGGTAGGAAATGTCCCTGGTTATTCTCCCCCAACCCCCACGGAAGCCGGGCATGAAGTGCTTCTTGCTTTGTTCATTGATCCCTCAAGGATCGCAAGAGAACCTGGGCCATCATATCATCTTCATCAGCGTCATAATCCTAAAGAAACACAAGGGAGAATATACATATGTAAACAAGCTTTATCTTTTACTGGAATTGCTCCTAAAGCAGATTCCTTCTTTCACTTTCCATTTCTCCCTGTACAGAGTCAGTTTTTGAAAGGATTCCCCTAGGTTTTTGTGCATGCTCAGGGCCCAGCCAGCTTCCCTTCACTTAATAAGAGCGGATCTGTAAGGGCCATGCTCTCCCATCTAAAAGGGTGATGAATGAAATGCTGCATTGTTTTCTAACTCAGATAGTAATGGGACAACACAAGGTCAAGCAAGTGTTTAAAACCAAATATAGGATCATATAACGTAGGTGCTGAAGATCAGCCTTTCCAGTCACTACTTACCACAAAAGTATCATAAGAAAACTGGTGTCGCCGTTGAAGATGTTCCATGAAATTAGCACTTCTATAGTTTGGATCACCCCATGGCATCGATGCACAAATTGGACAGACCTGGAAAAGATGGTAATTTAGACTTTTGAAGTTCTTATATCTTATCAGCATATCTTCTCGCTTTTGCCTATTCAACTTGTTTTCAATGAATCCCAGTAAGGACTGCTTGGGCAGGTATGTCCAGTTAATCATCATCATCATCATCATCATCATCATCATCATCATCCAGGTACATCTTAACACCTCTCAACAAAAGATTTTCCCAGGCTCAGCCAGGCCTTCAAATGCTAATGAAGGTGGTCAGTTGAAACATTCACACCTAGCTCCAGCAGAAGAGCTCTTTGCCCCACCTCAGTCATTCCACAGATATATAAACCCATTGTCCTAATTCCAACAGACCTCACTACCTCTGAGGATGCTTGCCATAGATGCAGGCGAAACATCAGGAGAAATGCCTCTAGAACATGGCCCTATAGCCCGAAAAAACCCACAAGAACCTAGTGATTCCAGCCATGAAAGCCTTTGACAATACATCATCATCTTTATTTATTACCCCACCACCATCTCCCAAATGGGGACTCGGAGCGGCTTACATGAGGCCAAGCCCAAATGACAATTACAAAAATGACAATTACAATAAAGAAAAACCAAAAACACAAACCGAAAACGCGAACAATAACATCATAGTTACATAAAACATATTAATACATATCAATATAAAAAATAAAAAAATATGCACAGACACAATAATAATGGGTGGGCTACATGTAGTGATTAAAAGGAGAAACTGATTAAAACTAATTAAAAACTCGGGCGAGATAAAAGAGGGAAGCAGGTAGTTTACGGAGGAGGGCTCATTTTAGCGAGAGTTGTGGAATCAAGCTTTCCCATGAGGGGGGACGTATACTCCAACGACAGAACTTTGAGGCAGAGCAATCATGTGGGATTATATACCTACTCATCAAAGGCGCAGCGGAAGACCCAGGTTTTAAGGTTCTTTTTGAAGATTTCTAGGGAAGGGGCTTTCCTAGTTTCTCCAGGCAGTGAATTCCAGAGTCAGGGAGCCACAGCGGAAAAGGCTCTCTCCCTTGTACTCACTAGGCGAGCTTGAGAGACTGGCAGGGGCAAAAGAAGGGCCTCCCCAGAAGATCAGAGGGCCCGAGATGGTTCATGGTAGGATATACGGTCACAAAGGTAGGCAGGTCCCAAACCGTTTAGGGCTATGTAGGTGATAACCTGCACCTTGAATTGAGACCGGAAAATAAACGGCAGCCAGTGGATCTCCTTAAAGTCAGTTGCAACTTAAATAAATACACCCATTAATTTCAATGGGTTTACTAATCTAGCAGGAATTGGCATTGAATTTAGCCTAGTGAATACTAACATTCAGAATAGGTACAATTAAAACAGAAGTATTTATTCAGTGCCAATCACATACAGGCTGCATATTAGGCAACGCATCAACCAACTCTGGTCCTGTGAGCTAGACTGCATCGTAGAAAGTAAATCAATTACCACTCGCTTTGCATCCATGCTGTGATATTTTCTACAGTGTTCTACTAGTCCTTCTTGGTCCAGGTTTTTCTCATTGCAATAAGGGCAAGTAAATGTAAATCTATTTGGAATGCTCCTGCAAAAGAGAAAGAGAGAGAGGCGATTTACTTCCCTGAAAATTTAAGACAAATCCAAGTTTCAAATTTTGTTTTGTTTCATGTAAAGTTGTGCTCTCTGATGGCTCAGGAGTATCATGAAAGAACGACATGTTGTGTATAGTACAAGAATGTGCCAAGAAAAGCCTTATGAAGGGATCTGTCCAATGCCTTTACAACCTGAAAAGTAGTATTTTAATACTGAGCTGAAGTACTTTTTATGTTTCCGAGACACCTTTCAGCATAGTTCCTAAGATATACACCAAACTATACAACAAAAAGGAGTTTTAGCGATTCCACACAATTCTCTCCACATGATCCATGGATTGGATCTGTCCTAGAATTCAGTAATGTGGATTTTCAAGTAAAACTAGATTCAGAAAAATTTCTGGAAAAACTATTCCAGAAAGTTTTTCAATGCTCTAAATGACATTAATCAAAATGTGTTAAATGGGGTAAACACACTTGGAAGTTTTGTGTAGAAATTATTTTATTGGAATTTTAATAATGTAAATAGAACACAGTCTACTTCCTTTATATTTAAAAAGTATACCTGAAAGAACACTATTTTTAAAGGTCATATTGCTGAAGGACACATTTTGCAGAAAGTATTTTTATCCTCTGTGAGCCCCATGTGGCCATGAACCATGCTTTGCCTAGCCTTGGTCTAGAAGTTGCTATTGAAGGACAAATACATAAGAGACAGTGTACACATAAGATATGAACCACCCATCTGGAATTCCAATCCAAAATATATTTCCAGAAATTTGGAGCATACTTCCCTAATTCTGGCCCCATAGCACCATCACTATAATTAAAGGACAACTAACTACACTATACCTAGTCTTCCACATTCATAGGGATTAGAGGCACAGGACCTCCACAAAAGTGGAAAAAACATCCAAGTTACCGGCTCTTGTCAATATACAAACACCTCAGCCTGATTTTCAACCCCTTTCTTGCCCCATGGATGTCTTTGCTCCACTTTTCTTCCTCCCAATCCTCTCCTTTCAATCTGATGTCCTTTGAACAGTGCGAACCAAATTTTAAACACCTTTCCACATCTGGCTGAATTTTTCTGAAAGGCGGGAGATTGAAAGGAGAAGAGAGGATAGGGAGCAAGATGAGTGGGTACTGGAAAAAGATGCAAATTTGACTGGTGTTATTGGATGGAGAGCAGATTAAAAGGAGTAGGAGTAGGGGATCGAGGAGGCTGAGGTAGGTAAATGGCAGGTACAAACTCATGAACAATTGACTTTATGAAAAGAATAACCTGCCGACTGTAATGCTAGACCACTAAACCGCTCTTACTCTGCTAACCTTGAATTTTTACTCCTAACTGATTTTAGCAGGCCAACACTATCCCATTGTCAAACCACAATATAAACTGTTATCTCTCCAACATAAGTTCTACTTGTAATTAAGATCTTAAAGCGTGATTGCCCCTTTTTGGAATGGTGTAAAATTTCACCAATCTGGCAGTTTTTGAACAATTCAGAAAGCTTTTCCAAGGCACAATCCAGTGAAAACTAATAATAAAAAACTTTATTTATACCCTACCCCCATCTCACATAGGGACTTGGGCAGCTTACAAAATAGCACACAAAGATGTAAAATACACATAAATAATACACATAAAATACATAATATATAAAATAAACTACAGCAACATATTTGCACTGACAGCAACCTTGAGTCAGGCAGTAAGTTTATTTTTTCCTCTAAGGACAGCCTCCACAAATGGGTTCAGGTAGCAACATTAAAAAGCCCTCACCTAAACCAAGTAGACAAATAACACAATATAATTAAGCACAATCTGATTAAAATAGCACTGATTCACTTTAAATAATCTGTTCACATCAAGCAGTTACCTGGTATCTTGTTGTGGATCTTTAGTCACGGCTCTAACACCTTCCATTATGTAATTCTGATATTTTGAACAGGTAGCTGCATGGCCACGCAACTTGGATAGATACATCTGTATAGAAAAAGAGACAAAAAATAAGTTTGCTTAAAAATAGTCAGATCAAGTATTTCAAACTACATAGCAAAACATGTTCTGAGAACTATACAAGAGAATTATTTGTTTCAATAGCACCAAAACATAGAAGGTTGTGAAGATTTGTGTAGTTACAGAAGAATCATGTCCAGCCCAGCCAATCCTCAACATAATAGCAAATCAACAATCTCAAAATCGGAATTCTCTGCATATAACAGCAATTTTCTTTCACATTTTGTTAGCTTTTCTAGCTCTCCTTCTTTCTGCACAATGATCAGCCAGAATGTTGTACTTTGAAAGCATTAACAAAGTCAACATTCAATATTGTTGCACTTTAGACAACTTTTTTCTATCTCAGATTGTCTTCAAAATGAAAATTCAGTTCCAGTTTAAGAGGGCAAATAATGTTGAAGTTTAACTCTCCTGTCCTGCTGTGTCATTTCTTGGAATATAGTAATTATAGTTACTCCCTCAACCTTGGAGTTTTTCAGGCACTGAATACTGGTATTTACCAATAAGAATTTCAAATATTCACAACATTTAGCTGGAGTTTTTTGTAAACACTCAGGAGTTTTAAGCCGTATGTTTTGAATCCCATTATTGGGAGATATGCAGGATAATGATCATGATGATGTACGTAACTTGTGTAAAATATAGTCAAAAGATTTATCTTTATAAATTCTAGTAAAGTCCAGCTTGCTAAAAATAATGGCTGAATAGCTAGTAGAATTGGTGTATTCATGCTGAAACTATAGGTCATTTGCACAAAAGTATAAAAGAAAACAGAAGTGCTAATTAAATTACTGGCTGTTAATAGCTAAAGCAGATTTTGCACTGTGGTTTGTTTTATATCAAGCAGTTTGTGATCTACATATTTAATAGTGTCAATATTCAATCACAAATGTTTCACAATCTCACATGTAATCCAATTGATATGACTGGCATTTAATATATCATGCTTGCATACAATTAGATGCATTAAACAAGATGTAAAACTTGAGACGTGGAAAAATCTGATAGACATTTCTTATGAAGGAGGGAAGTGAAATGTTTCATAATATTTAAGAATGTAGCAGCCCAGCTTTATTTTAAATTCCACCACACAGAAACATAAACAAAGAGGTTTCTCAAAACACAAAGCTCTGAATCCTCTTAAAGTGCAGCATAACATTCTGAGCCTCTAATATTTTCTTATGGCTGTTTATCCATGAATTCAGCTTTTTAACTACACTGCTACGTCACACATCCCCCTTTCTACAAATTAATATTGTCACTATGAAGGAAGTATATAACAATGGATTTAGTAAACATGCATATAAAATTGTCAATGTCTATTAAAGATGTGGATTGCACATGCTTTTACACAATTCTGTATATAAATCTTAAACAGAAAGTTCAAAGAAATTTGTCAAAGTTGCATTATGTTCCAAATGTAAAATAAATTTGTATAATACTTATAAAAGGTTATATTTATTTTTCTAATACCTAAATCTCAAGCAACAAGTGAATTCATGATCTCCACCTGAGACTAGGCCTGTGGATTGCAAATGAATCTCATGAAACCTATAAATCCTACTCCAAAAACTCAAAAATGTAAAATAAAGGAAGTGAAGATCATTCCTTGTCTCTCCTCTTCTTTGAAAGACTTGAACTGCCTCTTTCTCATCCTCTAGAATTCTGTGGCTTTGGCAAAAAATTGACTGTTATAATCAAGATGAAAAAGTGAATTTACTTCTGTCCAGATTTATAATGTATATAGTAAACGCAGTCCAGCTTTTCATACTTTTTTATTGCAGCCATTGCAAGTAGTCTCTGTCATTTCAATTTGCTTTTCCAAATCCAGAGCTCTGATGCCATGGGTCAGTGTGCTGCGGCAGACTCCACAAACTGGCTTTTTTGGCTTAAGACATTCCTGAATGCATGGTGTGCAAAAGCTAAAATGGGGTGGGAAAAAGACAGCACATGAATATTTGTATTGTACAGAATGCAGCCAGCATCAATAACCCCCCCCCCCCTCGATATAACACCAAATGAATTAACAAGTAGTACATTATCTCAGGGCCGGTAGGCCAAATAAGTTTGGGAATCTCTGCTCTAGGTCTTCCAGTGTTATTCTCTGGTCACCTTCCAATGGAACTTGATCACAGAGTTGCACCAAAGGACCTAAAGACTCCTGAGGGCTGTTCTTCCATATAAATAAATAGTGGAATCTCTTCTTGAAATTTGAATCCATTGTTTCTTGTCCTGGTCTCTATACAAACAGAAAACTAATTCACTTCATCTTCTAATGACACTCATTGAGCTATCAAAAGATCATTATCATATCACCTTTAAATCTTCTCTTCTTGAAGCTAAACTTACCCAGCTCCCTAATTTTTTTCTTTACAGGGCTTGGTTTTGGACCTTGTTGCTATTTGCCATGGGACAAACCTTTGTGGAGGGCAGTAGAGGTGCCTAAACAAGAGGATAGACAGGTCTCAGGAGTCCTTTTGATGTGTATTCCTGCAGGACAGACAGCCTGGGTTGGACCAGACACTCCTTTCAGTCTATTTACAATTTATGCCCATAATTCTGCACATGAAACTCATATGGCTAGAAAACATTATTAGAAAATCTAATTTAATAATTTCCCTATTTTATTACAATTCCCATTATCCCTAGTTGGGAGTTAGGGTAATATATTAATTTCACTTATAACCAAATCATTTAGATGAGTTTGTAATTTTTCATTACTGTATCTGTTCCAATTTTTAAGGCTTCAATGCAAAAATGGACCATTAAATATAGAACACAAACTAAGAAACTAAATGTCAACTCTTTCCTTCTGTTTATGTCCATTAAAAATGATGTACATGAGTAAAGGCACTAGTTACATTAGGCATATTGTAAAACATTGGTAACCTTTGGGCACATTTATCCTGAACTGCTGTAGATTTCTGTACTCTGTACAGTTTCGCTAGAATGTGTTCTAATTAAAGACATCTCAGTGATGTCAGTGCAATATAATTCAGTTGCATTTTCACTTTTCTTTTTCACTGTCATTTCCAAGAAACAAGTTACTGAGACTCTTTTTTCAGCTCTGAGAATTTTCACTTCTGGTTTCATGCAATCTATCAGCCACTAGACAGATCTAATGCCCGATGTTTCCCATAGTTTCCTCACCTGCTCACAATAACTATTTCAACACTGTAACTGGAGGCTTATTTAATAAGGCCAAACTTGCATTTAAACAGAAGCAATGACATTAAAGAAACAGGGCTTTAACTGTGATTTTATGCCCACTTATCTTGTGTTTACTAAAAACCAGCAGTAAGAGTTTCAACAAAATTGTGGCACCCTGTGTAATGAGACAAGTTACACCTGTCAGCTCCTCTCAGTCAGATCCAGAAGTTGCCTGCACCTTGCAGAAAACTGGAAGCCAGCTATTTGCATAAGTTTTGTCACTCATACAAATACAGGCAGTACCTGAGATACAAGCATCCAACTTACAAATGACTTATAGTTAAGAACGGGGGTGAAACAATAGGAAGTGAGAGAAATGTACTCCTAGGAAGGGAAATTCAGACCTGAAAGAATTCTCACGGGGAAAAAGTGTCTCCACTGAAGCTTTCTCACCAATTCTTGTTTCCACAAGAAGCCAATTTTCTCAAAATCCAATTATCACAGGGTCAGGAATCTTCTGAACAAGTGGCATAGACAACAAAACAAACATCACTGGGGTATTAACTTTTCCTCCCTATGCTATCCAAATTTTGGCTGGAGTTACACTTTAAAAATGTACCTGCTCAGACTTACGTACAAATTCAACTTAAGAACAAACCTACAGAACCTATCCTGTTCATAACTTTGGGACTGTCTGTATATCCTACATAAATTCCACTCCATGATCTATCTTCCCAATCTCCTCCTTTACTCCCAAGCAGAGAATCAGCTGTAAAACTTTCAACTTAAAACAGAGTATTTCTGCCTTTAACAGATTTTCAAAATAGGGAATTATGGTAAGCATAGTTTACTTTATAGGAATGTTTAAGAATGGTTTGCACCAGCAGAAATTCCTATGGTTAACTGGCAAACTCATTCCTTTCAGTCTACTGAGTATCAGAAATAGTCAGTAACTAACTCTTGGCCCTTGTTCAGAACCACTCAGGCCCACTAACTGCCTCTAATCAGAGACATAAGGGCTGCACTGAAGCAGATGCTCTTAGCTGGGTGTGGTATTAAGCAAACATGTGGAGAAAGGAGATGAAAGTTATGCATGCACTACAGCAAGAAGAGTAAAAGCAAAACAGTAAACATCAGCCTTCCCCCCGGAAAAAGTAAGCTCTGCTTTCAATTAAGTAAATTTGGGAGATCTCTTTGACATAGGGCTGGATAGAAGTATTTAATCAATTTATTAATAGAATGTCTGACTTAGACTTATCAGTTACAATGCACAATAGATTTATATAATATTAATAAAGCATCAATTTGAAAGGGAAAGAACTGGAAGGAGTCTTTTTTGAGCTTTTAAATATAACCCAATTTCTGCAACATAGCTTAAGTTTCGCTTCTTGTAAAGAACATCCTTGGTGCTGCATGAATCATGAGGGCGAGGCAAGATCAGGATTTCTTTCGATTTGATATTCTGGAGCAAAGGAGTACCTTGCCTCCCATCTTGGGCTTTAACTAGGCCTTAACACTTGAACCTGATCTGGGTAATGGCTCCTCAATACATCTGATTGCTGTTATCATCCTGCCCTTCATAGACACTCCAGCCCACCCTCAATGCCCCAAGTTCCCATTATTCCCCTGTTCTCTACACGCATGCCTGTTCCACACAGCTGCATAAAATCCACATTGAACTGGGTTATATGGCAGTGTGGGTTCGGATAATCCAGTCCAAAGCAGATATTGTGGATTACCTGCATTGATATTCTAGGTTATATGGCTGTGAGGAAGGGCCCACAAACCTAAACCACATTCGGTGTCTCTGGCTGCCATAATTATTCTGCATTCTGCATACCCCAGCCCACCTTTGGTGTTCCTACTTGTCATTAACACCTTCCCTCCACAGCCACCCTGAATACCTCTGGTTGCCATTATTGTCCTATCTTCCACACCTGCAAACTCATTCTCAGGGACCTTCCACCCAGCCATATAACCCAGAATATAAAGGCAGATAATCCACAATATCTGCTTTGGACTGGATTATCCGAACCCACACTGCCATATAACCCAGTTCAATGTGGAACTTTGAACTAGGTTATCTGAGGGCTCTTCCCAGGATCTGATCTCAGGTTTTCTGTTAATCCGAGATTATTTGGCAGTGGGCACGCATATACTCCAGGTTAAAGCATAAAACCTGGGATCAGATCCTGGGATATAGGGCATTTCTGGAAGGGCCCCCGAGTTCACACTGCCATATATTCCAGCTCTAAGCAGAAAATGTGGGATTTTATTCATCTTTAAGGAAAGGCCTCAGTGTCTCTGCCTACCATTATTGCTAGACACTCAAGCCTCAATTCATCTGGCTGCCATTGTGACCCTTCCCTCCAGAGCAGGCATGGGCAAACTTTGGTCCTCCAGGTGTTTTGGACTTCGGGCCCTTCTACACAGCCATATAACCCAGAATATCAGGGCAGGAAATCCCACAATATCTGCTTTGAACTGGGATATATGTTAGTGTGGACTCAGATAACCCAAATCAAAGCAGATACTATGGGATTTCCTGCCTTGATATTCTGGATTAGATGGCTGTGTGGAAGGGCCCTTTAACTCACACAATTCAGCTGCTGGCTGAATTTAACAGTAAACATCAATACAACAATATATCAATACATCAATATAACAAATCCATCAGATCTCATCACTAGAATCAGAATCCAGTCTCATTATCCGTTATTCCATGTTCCGCTAATCAATCAATTGCACTGCTTAGTCAAATGCCTGTTCAAACAGCCAGGTCTTCACTTTTCTCCGGAATGTCAGTAAGGAGGTGGCCGATCTGATGTCTGCAGGAAGGGCGTTCCACGGCCGGGGGGGGGGGGGGGGGCACCACTGAGAAGGCCCTGTCTCTCGTCCCTGCCAAGCATGCTTGTGAAGCTGGTGGGACCGAGAGCAGGGCCTCCCCAGACGATCTTAATGTCCTAACTGGTTCATAGGAGGAGATGCGTTTGGACAGATAGATCGGGCCAGAACCGTTTAGGGCTTTAAAGGATAAACCCAGCACTTTGAATTGTGCCTGGTAGCAAATTAGCAGCCACCTTGAATTGGGTTCGGTAGGTAAACAGCAGCAAATGGAGCTCCTTAAACAGGAAGGTTGACCTCTCTCTGTAAGGAGCGCCAGTTAACATCCTGGCCGCCGCCCGTTGGACCAGTTGGAATTTCCGAGCTGTTTTCAAGGGTAGCCCCACGTAGAGCGCATTACAGTAATCCAATCTAGAGGGTGACCAAGGCATGGACCACCCCGGCCAAATAAAACTCGTCCTTTACACTTGATCTTAGCCAAAAGGCCGAGAAGCGATGTCCAGAAGTCATCGTGGATGGCAGCTCTGAATAATGAGCTGGCTGGATTCGGTCTGCCTTTGCAATTTCGGGGTGTTCTGGGTCCGGGGGCAGGGCAAGTGTTCAAGCGGCGCATTAGGGATGTCTATGCACAGCTGGACCTAGAGAGCATAGGTAGGTCTTCAGCCACAAGGTTTTTAGCTTCCCACAAAAGGAATATTCATTTAGAGCACTACCTAACTATTCCACTTCCTCTACCCTTAAGAAGAATATATACTAGGGCTAGGTTTGAACAACTCGGTACTATGGTGCAAACCGGGCGTTACTGTAACATCCCAAGAAGTGAGAGATTCTGCGTCTGGGGAGAACAAACAGTGGAAGACATTGAACATTTCTTAATTGACTGTCCAGCATATACTGAACTGCGAGACAGATATTTACATCCAATATTATCCAACTGCAGGTCCCCCAACAGAAATGATATTCTGACATCCCTCTTGCAAGGGCAGGAAAGATCCAGCATCATCAGAGTAAGCCTTTTTATTCTGAAAGCTATTAAGAAAAGAGCAGATTTCCTGAAAGAAGAACCAGGAAAATAAGATTCTGACTTATCACCTTGTTGCCTTGTTTTTTACTCGTGTTCTATTTTGAAATGGTCATATGACTGATCAAATAAATAAATATTATTATTATTATTATTAACTCGTCCTTTTATCCTTTCCCTTCACAGAAACCCCAACGTTGTGACTTAGCCCCCCCCCCCCCGGCCCTTCCACACAGCCCTGTTGTTGTTGTTCATTCGTTCAGTCGTCTCCGACTCTTCGTGACCTCATGGACCAGCCCACGCCAGAGCTCCCTGTCGGCCGTCACCACCCCCAGCTCCTTCAAGGTCAGTCCCGTCACTTCAAGGATGCCATCCATCCATCTTGCCCTTGGTCGGCCCCTCTTCCTTTTGCCTTCCACTTTCCCCAGCATAATTGTCTTCTCTAGGCTTTGCTGTCTCCTCATGATGTGGCCAAAGTATTTCAACTTTGTCTCTAGTATCCTTCCCTCCAGTGAGCAGTCGGGCTTTATTTCCTGGAGGATGGACTGGTTGGATCTTCTCGCAGTCCAAGGCACTCTCAGAACTTTCCTCCAACACCACAGCTCAAAAGCATCGATCTTCCTTCGCTCAGCCTTCCCTAAGGTCCAGCTCTCACATCCGTAGGTGACTACAGGGAATACCATGGCTTTGACTAGGCAGATCTTTGTTGCCAGTCTGATGTCTCTACTCTTTACTATTTTATCGAGACTGGACATTGCTCTCCTCCCAAGAAGTAAGCGTCTTCTGATTTCCTGGCCACAGTCTGCGTCTGCATTAATCTTTGCACCTAGAAATACAAAGTCTGTCACGGCCTCCACAGTTTCTCCCTCTATTTTCCAGTTGTCAATCATTCTTGTTGCCATAATCTTGGTTTTTTTTACGTTTAGCTGCAACCCGGCTTTTGCGCTTTCTTCTTTCACCTTGATTAGAAGGCTCCTCAGCTCCTCCTCGCTTTCGGCCATCAGAGTGGTGTCATCTGCATATCTGAGGTTGTTAATGTTTCTTCCAGCAATTTTCACCCCAGCTTTGCATTCAACCCCCGGACATCGCATGATGTGTTCTGCATACAAGTTAAAAAGGTTGGGTGAGAGTATGCAGCCTTGCCGTACGCCTTTCCCAATCTTGAACCAGTCTGTTGTTCCGTGGTCAGTTCTTACTGTTGCTACTTGGTCCTTGTACAGATTCCTCAGGAGAGAAACAAGGTGGCTTGGTATGCCCATCCCACCAAGAACTTGCCACAATTTATTATGATCCACACAGTCAAAGGCTTTAGAATAGTCAATGAAGCAGAAATAGATGTTTTTCTGAAACTCCCTGCCTTTCTCCATTATCCAGCGGATATTGGCAATCTGGTCTCTCGTTCCTCTGCCTTTTCTAAACCCAGCTTGAACATCTGGCAACTCTCGCTCCATGTATTGCTGGAGTCTTCCTTGCAGGATCTTGAGCATTACCTTACTGGCATGAGAAATAAGGGCCACTGTACGGAAGTTTGAGCAGTCTTTCGCATTTCCCAGCCCTACATCCCACAAAATCAAGGCAAAATCCCACAATATCTGCTTTGAACTGTGTCCACACTGCCATATATTCCAGTTCAAAGCAGAAAATGTGGGGTTTCATTCAGCTGTGTGGAAGGGGCCCCAAACAAGGCTCAGGCTGCCCTTTCTTGCCCTTTCCTCCCACCCTTTCCCTCCATATCCCTGGTTGCCATTACATCCCCGAGGCCTGCTGTTGTTCTTCCTCAGGGCCTCCTCTCCTCGCCCTCCCCTTCCCCTGAGTTCTCACACATGGCCGCAGGGGGCTCGCACGGGGCCCTCGAACACCTCCAGGCACACCGGGCAGGTGAAGCGGGACAGCGGGTCCAGCGAGTTCGCAGCGGCGACAGCGGAGGCAGCGGCCCCCTCTGGGTACCGAGAGCTCGCCTCAGCCAGCGCCATCTTCGAGGGAGAGAGCGAGAGAGGCAGACCTCGACAGTTATCCCAACGGTAGCACAACAATTCTACCAAACGCGAAAGAGGAACGAACGACGGCGGCCTAAAAGGGACAACACGGCCCAGGCCCCGCCCAGCGAGCCCAAGCCACGCCCACTGAGGCCAACTGCGCAGGCGCGGCAGGAATAGCGTTCCTAATGACTGGGAGTTTGTGTGGGAGGGGACTCTTGTGTACTTTGCCCATCGGCTTCCAACTGGGTGGCACCCCACGATGCAGGCGAAACGTCAGGAGAGAATCATAGAATCAAAGAGTTGGAAAGAGACCTCATGGGCCATCCAGTCCAACCCCCTGCCAAGAAGCAGGAATATTGTATTCAAATCACCCCTGACAGATGGCCATCCAGCCTCTGTTTAAAAGCTTCCAAAGAAGGAGCCTCCACCACACTCCGAGGCAGAGAGTTCCACTGCTATCTACAGAGACACTCGCTAGAACACCTCAGCAAGCGAGAGTCCAAAAGTGGCAGGCTCAAACACAGCACCTCAACCAATGGCTGATACCAAATGAGAGACTCCCCCCTGGGCACACAGAGGACTGGGCGACTTGGAAGGCACTGAACAGACTGCGCTCTGGCACCACGAGATGCAGAGCCAACCTTCAGAAATGGGGCTACAAAGTGGAATCCTCGACATGCGAGTGTGGAGAGGAGCAAACCACTGACCACCTGCTGCAATGCAACCTGAGCCCTGCCACATGCACAATGGAGGACCTTCTTGCAGCAACACCAGAAGCACTCCAAGTGGCCAGATACTGGTCAAAGGACATTTAACTAACTACCAAACTCACAAGTTTTGTATTTGTCTGATTGTTTGCTTTGTTCTGTTAGAAATGTAATATAATTTGACTGGTTTTCCTGACACAACAAATAAAATAAAATCATATCAGGAGCGAAAACAGTTGTATTATCTTTAAAAGAAGGAAAACCCCACAAAGTTTGCAAACTTGGCATGCTATTAAATGTTCTTTGACCAGTATCTGGCCACTTGGAGTGCCTCTGGTGTTGCCACAAGAAGGTCCTCCATCGTGCATGTGGCAGGGCTCAGGTGGTCAGTGGTTTGATCTTCTCCACACTCACATGTCGAGGATTCCACTTTGTAGCCCCATTTCTGAAGGTTAGTTCTGCATCTTGTGGTGCCAGAGCACAGTCTGTTCAGCGCCTTCCAAATTGTCCAGCTTTCTGTGTGCCCAGGAGGGAAATCTCTCATTTGGTATCAGCCATTGATTGAGGTTCTGGGTTTGAGCCTGCCACTTTTGGACTCTCGCTTGCTGAGGTGTTCCAGCGAGTGTCTCTGTAGATCTTAGAAAACTATTTCTTGATTTAAGTCGTTGACATGCTGGCTTATACCCAAACAAGGGATGAGCTGGAGATGTCTCTGCCTTGGTCCTTTCACTATTGGCTGCTACTTCCCGGCGGATGTCAGGTTTTACAATACCGGCTAAGCAGTGTAATTTCTCCAGTGGTGTAGGGCGCAGGCACCCTGTGATAATGCGGCATGTCTCATTAACTAGAATGCTTCTAGAACATGGCCTTATAAAAATCAGTTAGATTAAATTCATTGTGTTACATATGAAATTCAATAGATTTCACTAATCTCATCATGGAGAAAATCACTGTGCCTGTCTGCCATACTTGTCATAGAATCATAGAATCAAAGAGTTGGAAGAGACCTCATGGGCCATCCAGTCCAACCCCCTGCCAAGAAGCAGGAATATTGCATTCAAATCACCCCTGACAATGGCCATCCAGCCTCTGTTTAAAAGCTTCCAAAGAAGGAGCCTCCACCACATTCCGGGGCAGAGAGTTCCACTGCTGAACGGCTCTCACAGTCAGGAAGTTCTTCCTCATGTTCAGATGGAATCTCCTCTCTTGTAGAACGTGGCCGTATAGCCTGAAAAGCCTACAACAACCCAACTTATTATTTATTCATATCAGGAGCGAACCAACAGTTGTATTTTCTTTAAAAGAGGGGGGGAAACCCACAAAGTTTGCAAACTTGGCATTCTATGAAATGTTCTTTGACCTGTAGCTGGCCACTTAGAGTGCCTCTGGTGTTGCTACAAGAAGGTCCTCCACTGAGCATGTAGCAGGGCTCAGACTGTAGCAACACCAGAGGCACTCTTAAGTGGCCAGCTACGGGTCAAAGAACATTTCATAGAATGCCAAGTTTGCGAACTTTGTGGGTTTTTTCCCCTCTTTTAAAGACAATACAACTGACTCACCCTGGTCATTCCACAGATAGATAAACCCTTTTTCCTAGTTCCAACAGACCTCACTACCTCTGAGGATGCTTGCCATAGATGCAGGCGAAACATCAGGAGAGAATGCCTCTAGACCATGGCCATATAGCCTGAAAAAACCTACAAGACCCTAAATAAATGTATGCTGAAACTCTTTCGACGCAATAATTAAAGGTGCAAGAACCCTTCTAATTTTAAATCTAGCAAGTCTAATTTCTTTGTTCCTGGAAACTATGTGGATTGACAGCTGATAACTTGCACAGTGACACAAGTCTAGGAACCACCACTTCCAATGGTTCGAAATAGGAGTTCAAAACAAGGACTGTCCTGTAACAGTATTTCAAAAAGAAGATTGTTATCCATTAAAGGGACAGGTGACCACTTATCCTCCTACTATACCATCACCATCTGGATTAAACGATCAGGTCTAAAGCAATTTGGAAAAAAAACATGATCCCCACAATAGCCATGATAAAAGGTGAATACTGGATTTGATAAACCCCTTTGCCCAAATACTGTCCTTTAGGATGATGAACTGAGATCTACCACAAATAACATTGTCTTGACTCTGTTTAGGTTTGTTGTTTGCACACCAGGGATATCCTGAACAGGATTGTTCTCAAAGCAAGTTGTGTACTGTCTGCTTTAAGATCAAAGTGCAAAAGTATTCAGCAGAGATCTGCTTAAAAAAACGGAGAAGCAATAAGTCACACATGCTTTCTTTCTCATTCCAGATTTTCTCACACATTATGAAAACTGGGTGTGGAAAAAGATGTTACATAACAATTTATGAGGCATAGAATGCACTGAAATTCTAAATCCTGGATCATCAGTGAGCAGGCAATTCTGGCAAGTATCCTACAACTCTAAAATAAAGGTGATCCTAAGGAGCTAAACCTGAGTGCTGCGTTTCCCATTAAAATGAATAGATGTAATGCCTATAGCATGATTTTCCATTTTAAGATTGGCCTTTTCACTTACCAGAAAAAAATATCATTCAAATACATAGAAATCTAAAGAGATGTGGCAAGACTCTGATCTAATTTCTATATGAATTAATTTACAGCATCAGTAGTTTCCATATGAATTAATTTGTAGCTTTGGTAGTTTCCATATTAATTAATTAGGAGCCCCTGGTGATGCAGTGGGTTAAACTCTTGTGCTGGCAGGACCGAAGACCAACAGGTCGGAGGTTCAAATCCAGGGAGAGTGCAGATGAGCTCCCTCTGTCTGCTCCAGCTTCTTATGCAGGGACATGAGAGAAACCTCCTACAATGTTGATAAAACATCAAAACATCTGGATGTCCCCTGGGTGACGTCCTTGCAGACAGCCAATTCTCTCACACCAGAAGCCACTTGCAGTTCCTCAAGTCGCTCCTGACACACAAAAAATAATAATTCACCCACTATGAGGCATGCTGACACTATCAGGTTCCCACCTTTCTCCAGGTATAGCTGCTAAGTGTCCTTTATATGTTTTCAGAACAAACAAGCAATGTACATGAAGCATCAGTATTGTGTATATGTGCCTTCAGGTCACCTATAAACATACAATGATACCACAAATTTAACAAGGTTTTCTTAGGCAAGGAATCCTCAGAAGTGGTTTTGCCAATTTCGTTTTCTGAAATATCGCCTCTAGCACCTGTGATTTCCTGGCAGCTTCCAAGCCAAGTACCAACCAGGGCTGTTCCTGTTTAGCTTCCAAGATCAGACAGGATCTGGTGCCTTTAGGCTATTTAAGCTAAACTGACTAGTTATTCTTCACATTGGAGGTGCCAGAACTGAGAATGCTTCACCTGCTAATTTCTGGGGTGTGTGTCTCTCCATTTATTCCCATTACATCAATTAGGTTATGACACTGTTCCTAGGATATTATGTCAGACCAGAGCCTGGAAATGTTACATGTTTGGACTACAACTTTTTGAGAAAAGTCTCTATTCTTTCTTAGATGTGGCCAATTATGTTTTGACTAGTCAGTTTAGCTGATTTTTAAACTTTGACCCAAGTAAGTGCATAATCTCTGCTATTCTAGTTGTATTATGGATGAACAACGATATTTTATTTGGTAGGAGACAAATAAGTCCCCTATATAGCTCCCAGATATAATTAATTGGGGCTTTCCATTTAATTAAAACACATTCCATAAAGCTCAATTTCCAACTGCTTTGGTTGGAGTGTGAAGGGATGGGTGTGTTGTTTTTGTGATGTGTGCTGGGGAAAGCATTTAATTTTGTTGTACAATGACAATGAAGTTATTGTTCTTTGGTCTACTTGTTAGGCTTTGTTCATCTTCATGGGTCCTTGTCAGCCACAAGAACTCCAATCTGAACAATATTTTTTTTTTATTACTTGGCACATATTTTTCTTTGGACCAGATTTTTTCTTGTATAGGTGACATATAGGAGTTTCATGCCGAAGACAAAAGCTAAGAGTTACGAGTGGGAGGGGAGAAGTATGAATCATCATGCAATATGGAGAAATTCTCATCTCTAACTGCAGTTATTTGTCACTGCTGGCATCAGGTCACCATCTGATGATTTATGTTTTGAATCCATACGTTGTTGCATGCAGTGTGTGACAGGGAACAGAAGACGGCTGCACAGAACAGAACAGAAGCTGTGTGTGGGCACTATGTTGTAGCTGTGACAAGAGGGAAAAATCCATAGTGGAAGGCTGCAGACAAAAGGATTAGACTGTTGGTGGTGGCTTTTGCACATAATATGTGCAGGAATGAATACTCACTCCTCCCTCCCCCCATGAAAGAAGATATGGTAAATGTGGGAGAAATGAAGAGAGAAGTGTCATTCCATCATCACTGTTACCAAGTACCGAAATGCTTATTATCATGGCAAGAA